AAGAGTGTAGAAAGTGTTTAAGATCATATGAAGTGTTTGTGAGAGTGTGCGAAAGGTTAATAACAGAGTGGGAAAGGTTTATAGGAAGAGTGGGAAGGGTTTATAAAGCCTTAAAATATATATAAATAGCCAGTGGCTCACGCCTGTAATCCCAGCTACTCAGGAGGCTGAGATCTGAGGATTGAGGTTCAAAGCCAGCCTGGGCAGGAAAGACCATGAGACTCTTATCTCTAATAAACCACTAGAAAACTGGAAGTGGCGCTGTGGCTCAAGTGGCAGAGCGCTCACCTTGAGCTGAAGAATACAAGGACAGTGCCCAGGCCCAGAGTTCAAGCCCCATGCCGACAAAAAAAAAATAAAAATAAAAACAATTAAAAAAAAAAATATATATATATATATAATGCTGCTACTTTGTGGATTTTCAGGGGATTTTCAGTGGATATTGCAGGGGTCTGTGGAACATAACTCCCTTGATGGGTGACAGATCACATGATGGGTAACAGATCATGTTTCCACCAATAGTGCGTTAGGGCTCTTCTTCCCCACTTCCCGCCAAAAATTGTTTGAACTCATGATTTTGGTCAATCTAAGCGGAGTGAGGTGGTATCTCAGAGTTGTTTTGAATTGTGTTTCCTTGACAATGCCCAGGACGATGAGCATTTCCTCGTGTGTTTCTTTGCCATTCTTACCTCTTCTGAGAAGCCTCTCTCTGCTCCTTTGCCCATTTAATGATTGGTCTTTTAGCTTTGGGAGGGGTTACTTTCTTGAGCTCCTTGTGTATTTTGGGTGTTAGGTCTTTGCCAGATGTGTTGCTGGTAAAGATCTTCTCCCAGTCTCTTGGTTGTCTTTCGAGTTTAGTAGCTGTGTCCTTTGCTGAGCAACAACTTTTTAGTTTGATGTAATCCCATTTGACAAAATGTCTTTCCTATCTGCTATGCCCCCTGGGACTCTTTCAAAAAGTTTCTGCCTATAAGTACTAGTGCTCCTCCCACTCCCTCTTGCAGTACTTTCAAAGTTTCAGGTCTGATGTTGAGGTCTTTGTAAGTTCATTTATAATAACAAGAAGAAGCAGGCACCAGTAGCTCATGCCTATAATGCCAAATACTCAGGAGGTTGAGATCTGGGGATCACGGTTTGAAGCCAGCCAGGGCAGGAAAGTCCATAAGATTTTTTTTTTGGTCGGTTGTGGGGCCTGAACTCTGGGCCTGGGCACTTTTCCTCAGCTCTTCAGCTGAAGGCTAGCATTCTACCACTTGAACCACAGTGCCACTTCTGGCCTTTTCTGCTTATTTGGTGCTAAGGAATCGAACCCAGGGCCTCATGCATGTAAGGCAAGCACTCTCCCACTGAGCCACCTTCCCAGCCCGGTCCATGAGATTCTTATCTCCATTATTACCAAAAACTCAGAAGTAGAGTCATTGCTCAAGTCTTGGGCAAAAAAGCTAAGTACCAGTGTCCCCTAGGGATATGGCCCTCAGGCCTGGGCCCTGCTTCCTGGCCAGGACGCAGGTGTGGCCGTACTTGTACCAGGAGACATCAGGTTGTGCCGCACGCCCCCTGTACCACCACACCCCAAGGATGGGCCAGGATCTCAGCCGCCGCATCTGCTCCTGTGGCGGCAGCCGGCTTTCTGCCAGTCCGCTGTCTTTGTGCCTTTCTCCTGCAGAAGCGTTTGTGGAACTCCAGCTCTGCTCTTCCTGTCTGGGAGCCTGGGTGGCTGAGTGCAGATCAGCGATGCTGTTCTTCCCAGTGGTGCTGAGCTGAGATTTTTAAGAGCTTTAAAGCAAGGGTGGATTATGCAGGAATTTGAGGCCTCTTAAACATCAGCTGTGTTTGGGAGGCGCTGGGTAACCTGCCAGGAGTGCTTCCTGATTACCAGTTAATGGTAGTCACTGAGAATCCACAGACACAGCCAGGGTGGCTCTGCCACAGTCAATTATGCGGTTTTAAGCAAGAAATGGCCGGTGGGAGCCTCTTTTTTATAAGGCGGTAGGAGCTGAAAATGAGGGGAAGAGCCATTGCTGCTTGGGGGCCAGCGACACGGCAGGTGCTCAGGTCCTTAAGATGAGGTGTAGATGTTAGCTTTTGTTTTCAAGTGGCCCTCTGGTCAGAGGAACAGTATACACAACAAGCACTTAACATCCCAGTCAGGAGCCAGGCGGGCTCGCTGGCTCATGTCTGTAATCCTCCCAACTGAGGAGGCTGCCATCTGGAGGCTCATGATGAGGCCAGCCCAGGCTGCTGGACTCCATCTCCAAAATAACCAGCAAAAAGTCAGGCTGGAGACATGGCTTAAGTATAATACCAGCCAAGCAAGCTAAGGGCGGTGCCGACCAAATATAAGCAAACAAGTAACTAAGTAAAAATAAAACCCTAGCCAGGCTCTTTTCCAGGCCACAGGGTGGCCTGTGTCCAGATGCTTCCACCATCACTGTCTCCTGGGCACGGGCTCTCCCAGGCTGTTAGAGAAGCTTTGCAGCCAGTGCTCGTGACACAGACCCTGTGGGAGGACCAGGACGCTCATCTGGGGAGTACTTTGCTATACGATGGATTCAGGCCTGCTCATACCCCACACATCTGCTCTCAGTGCATTTATTTAGCAACTAGTACAGTCCTGGCAGGAGGAATGGGCACTGTCCACCTGTCCACAGCTTGCCCTGCTGTCTCAGAGGAATGGACTTACCACGGCTTCCCAAAGCTGCTTGCATTGCAAGTTTGGTCTCCAGTGTGGAGCTGTTAAGAGGTGCTGAGACCTTTAAGAGGCGGAGCCTAATGAGAGTTGTTAGGTCATTGGGTGTGGCCATCAGATGGGATGTATCGGGACTGGGTGGCTGGGCAGTAACTGGACTAGAGGCCAGGAAGTCAGCACCCTACCTTTAACTTCCAGAACTGTGAGCTGCGAGACACCTTCACCGTACAAACCATGAGCCTCGGGTACGCCACTCTGCACCTAACAGAAAACAGACTAAGACAGAACCTAAAAGTGCTTGGCTTGTTTGATTTTTAATAAAATCTGACTTGTGCATGTTCTCTTTTCCGGATCAGGAATTTAATGTCATATCTAGGATCTCCAGTGCAAAAATCACAAAAATATTATTCTCGAAGTTTGATATTTAGGTTTTACATGTAGGTCTCTGACTTGCTTTCAGTTATATTTGGGATATAGCACCTATGGGTCAAGATGATTATGATTCTACTTGTAGACAGGAGCTCCGGCACCACGGAATTGTGGTGTGGCTGTTGTTGAGAAGTAATTGGCCAAATTCATATTCATCAGACCCTTCCTGAACTCCATTCTGTTTTCTAGTCTGTTTCTACTCCATGTCTTCCTTTCCTCATACCCACACTGTCCTCATTATTAGAGCTTTGTAGCAGTCTTGGGATCAAAGTGTTCTTCCCTTTCAACATTATGATTTTTTTTTTTTTTGGTCATTCATGGGGCTTGAACTCTGGGCCTTGAGCACTGTCCCTCAGCTGTTCAGCTCAAGGCGAGCGCTCTACCACTTGAGCTACAGCGCCACTTCCAGTCTTCTGGTAGTTTATTGGAGGTCAGAGTCTCACAGACTTACCTGCCTGGGCTGGCTTTGAACTGCAGTCCTCAGGTCTCAGCCTCCTGAGTAGCTAGGATTACAGGCCTGAGCCAACAACGCCCGGCTCAACATTGTTTTAATAATTCTAATTCCTTTTCTTTCCCACACCAAATTTATAGTTAACTTCTGGCTGCACAAATTTCGAATTAACTTCACACCTGTAATCCTAGCTACTCAAGAGACTGCGATCTGAGGATGGCCACCATTCAAAGCCAGGCAGGGCAAGAAAAGTCCATGAGACTCTGACCTCCAATTAACCACCAAAAAGCCAGAAGTAGAGCAGTGGCTCAAATGGTAGAGTGCTAGCCTTGAGTAAAGAAATTCAGGGAGGGCTGGGAAGGTGGCTCAGCGGTAGAGTGCATGCCTTGCAAGCATGAGGCCCTGGGTTCAATTCCTCAGCACCACATAAACAGAAAAAAGAAATTCAGGGACAGTGCCCAGGTCCTGAGTTCAAACCCCAGGACTGCACACACACACACACACCATATAGAACAACTTATTGGTGTTTTGATTGGGATTGCACTGACTCTTGGTCATTAGAAGAAGAGTGAGTGGCACTCTATGGTGCTGGTGTCTGCATCCATGAACATGGTATAGCTCCCCTTTGTCTTCTTGAGTGCTCTCATCAGTGTTTCAGCATATAGAGATTTGTATTCTTTTATTATTTCTTCTATCTGCTTATAAGTGATACTTTAAATTTTCAATTTCCAGTAGTTTATTTCTTTTTCTTTCTTTCTTTCTTTTTGTAAGTCATGGGGCTTGAACTCTGGGCCTAGGCGCTGTCCCTGTGCTCTTCGGCTCAGGGAGAATGCTCTACCACTTGAGCCACAGCACCACTTCCAATTTTCTGGTGGTTTATTGGAGATGAGTCTCATGGACTTTCCTGCCTGGGCTGGCTTTGAACTGGGATCCTCAGATCCCAGCCTCTTGAGTAGCTAGGATGACAGCCCCAGACCCACCCCCATCTCTGCCTGGAGGGGACCCTGGCCCCAGCGCGACAGTGCCCAGCCTGGCGCTGCCTCCCTGTGGCCACATGCTTGTTCTGCCTTGATTGTACCAAGAAGGAATTATGGGGTTAGCCAGCGATGACATGGAGGCTCCCCCCCTCTCCAGGCCCTGCGGGGTGGGGAGGGCTCCAGGGGTGCTCGGGACAGTGGAAGTTTGGGGGGGCCTGGCCCAGAGCCTTCACTGTGTTTAAGGTGGGCGGCGGGCTGTGGGTTAGAAGGGGGTTTCTAGTTGCCCCAGGCCTGGTCCTGGAGTCTGAATTGGATGAAGAGTGGCTGGGAAGGCATGTTCTATTCTCTATGGCGAGCTGTTTGCTATGTCCCCCCACACCCCCACGCATCAAAGCAACCCATGCAACCCGAAGTAAACCCGCATAATAAATACATCTAAAACATCTCTCCCCAGGGTGTTTTTCCTGAATGTGCCATTAGATTCCATCCTGGAGCGGCTGACTCTGCGGAGGATTGATCCAGTCACAGGAGAGAGGTTTGTTCTGGGTCCTGGGGGTGGCTGCCCAGGGCTCCGGGGGCCGGCGTCTCCAGCGGCCTCCCCTCCGCCACAGCCCTGCCCCATGGCAGACCTGCTCCAAAGGCCATGCGGTGACTACAGGCAGGAGCCAGAGGCGTCACCGAGTTAGGGCTTAGGAGCATATTGGTTCTCTGCCTGGAAGAGTCACCCAAAAAATGTCCAAAGCGCTGTAGCAACACACTGTCACCTACTGTGTCCCGGGTCCCCAGCCAGTCCTCGGTGTGTGGATGGCTGCACTGGGGTGCTGTGACCCCGCAGGTAGAAAGCTGGGCTCACAGCACATACTGAGTGAAGGGGCAGAGGGAGGGAGGGAGAGAGGGAAGAAAGGAAGAGAAGGAAGGAGAGGGAGGGAAGGAGGGAAAGGAAAGATCTTGGCCCTTCTTGTCTTCCTGCATGGGCCCGCGTGGCTGGCGCGGGGCCTCCCTGGGCAGGCAGGGCAGGGCTTGCTCTCTCAGCGCGGGCGCGGGCGCGGGGCAGTGCGGGGCAGTGCGGGGCAGTGCGGGGCAGTGCGGGGGGGCATGTCAGCCCACGGGTGCCGACCCCCCATAGGTTCCACCTCATGTACAAGCCCCCGCCCACCATGGAGGTACAGGCTCGGCTCCTGCAGAACCCCAAGGACGCCGAGGACCAGGTCAAGCTGGCCATGGACCTGTTCTACCGCAACTCCGCCGAGCTGGAGGAGTTCTACAAGCAGTCCATCACCCTCAACGGGGACCAGGATCCCTACACCGTCTTCGAGTACATAGAGAGTGGGGTCATCAACCCCCTGCCTGAGAAAGTGTCCTGAGCCCCTGCCACAGCGGCCACAGCGGGGGGGGGGGCGGTCAGCAAAGGCTCCTTCACGAACCTTCCACCAGGATAATAAAGAGTGCTGGGCACTGCTTGGTGGGCCCCAAAGGCGCCGTGTCTGGGGTCTGGGAACACGGGAGAGGGGAGGCCCCAGCAGGTGGGGCTGGGGGCGTGACTTGCCTAGCAAGCAAGGCCCAGAAGTGCAAAGCTCTGTACCACAGAAGGGAAGGGAGGGGAAGGGAGGGGAGGGGAGGGGA